TTTTGCCCTTTTGCAACTCACTCTCTCTCTCATCCAATTGGGACTTTTTTGAATCATAATGCGGTTATATTTGGTTGGTTTCAGTTTGTTAATGTGTTGAACTCCAAGAAAGAAAAACTCAGGGAGCTTCGTGACCGGCTCTCCAAACGAGACTCCTCCCATCAGTCACCGGAGCATGAAGACGAGGAAGATGGTTCGACAGATAAGACTGAGAGCTTTTACGAAGAAAGTGATGACGAGGAAGATAAGAATAACGGTGGTTCCTCTAAAGATGTCTCGTCTAGTAGCAAGCCTCGTGGTAGAAAAAGGAAATAAGCCGTGAAACTTTTTGATGTTTGAATTGTAGTATCAAAACATTGTTTTAGAAAGTGGCGCGACTTTTGTAGGTTTTCACTCTGTGAATAGGAGGATCTTTTTCTCAGAACGATTTATCAATCCTTTGGAATGAATTTTTGCTTGTTACACTACTAAATTCAGATTGAGATGGGTCACATCATTTTGATATCAATCAATTGATATATATAAATGCATGATCTCAAACTCCATCCCCAATTAATCCAGATGCAGGCCAACCATTTCAAGAAAAAAAAAATAAAAATAAAAAAGTTAATGAATTAATACACATTAGAAATGAAATGAAATGAAATGAAATACACATTAGAAATGAAATGAAGTAGTTCTTCAAACATCATCACACCAAGCTAGCTCATATTATCAGAAACAAACAAAAAGAATTCCCCCTTTCCATATATCTCCCACACACACACACACACACACACACACACACACAGAGCAAGGGTGTGTTCTTCAAGAATGGCTGAAGCTAACGAGAATGGGGATGAGCACAACAAGAACGACGATCAGCAAAAGCACAATCCCTAAGCACATACACCTTCTGCTGCTTTTCTGATGATCCTTGGCAACTTTAAGGTTGTTGGTTCCTTGAGCAATGTAATGGGCCGCATTCATGACATGGTGCTCGATATCGTCCATCTGCTCTCCTTGTGCCTCCACCATCACTGCCATGTCCAAGAATATCTGGTGAAGCTCCAAAAGGCTCCTCTCGATTTCCTTGGCAGCATCATGCCGGTCCTGTATCTCCACCACCGTCTCCACCACCTTCCCCCGCCCGTGTTCCTATTAATAATACAATATTATTACTATTAACTCAATCATTTTCAGCAATCCACAAAACCAACTAAATTAATTAATTACCTGAACTGCTTTGGACAACAAGTCTTCACCCCCATTTGAGATAATCTTTTCAAGAACTTCCTCATCCGGATACTCCCCAGTAATGGTATAGTACCTTCTCCCCACAGTTTCTTTGTACTCACTCATCATTCTCTGCCTCAGCCCTTGAAAATCCATCATCACCTCCTTCAACTTCTTCCTCAGCCCGTTTGTCACAGCAAATCGGGCCCGGTCGACAGGGGTTCCCTCCTTGCAGCCCGAGAGCCTCCTATTGCTCGCATTGGCCTGGTCCATCTCCTCCAGCTTCGCCCTTATGGCCCGGGCCCGTTTCAGGACGGACAGGATGTCACTGTTGACGCGGGCCCTGATCAATTTTAGGGCTTGGGGCTTGTGCAGGGCCTTGCCCTCCTCGTGGGAGGCTTCCAATCGGGCCAGGATCTCCCTGATGGACTCCATCTCTTTCCTCACTTGCTCTGCCTCCTCCAAGAACGCAGTCAGGTTTTGGTCCAATCGGGCCATGCCCAGCTCCAGATCCGGGCCCGACTCTGCATCTTTCATGGCTGCTTTCTTTAGATCGACATAACTTGTGAAGGATTTGGTCATCAGATCATTCATCTTGGCGAGAGAGAGAGAGAGAGAGAGAGGAAAATGAAAATTTAGGGTATTGATCAAGAAAATGATTTGCAGAAGCGTAGGGATTGCAGTGCAAAAGACAGATAATTTATGAGAAGAAGAAGAAGAAACATAACGGCCGTATTTTCAAAGGATGTTGATTATAAGAAAATTTTTAATTCAGTAGCCGTTGCTTTTCGAACAACGGCTAGTTTTTTTGGGTTCAAATTGGACAATTAAACACTGTGTATTGTGTACGAGAGGGTAGAAGGCAGTTTATACAATAAGCAAAATTTTGATCCCTACTTTAAATTTAAAGAATTTCTTTCAATTCTCTCTTTAAAAAAAAATAAAGCCAGCATGAATTAAAATAACAGTATTTTAGGGTTTTTTTTTTTATTTTTTTTCGTCTTTGGTCGCTATTTTGCAATATTTTAGCCGTTGATATACAATTTATTTAACACTATTGTTCACGATTTCGGCCACTACTATGTAGCCTCAACCGACCAAACTTATGTCCCTAACCAAATTAGAATCGAACGAATTACTTGGTTTTTTGGTCGATTAATTGGCTTACCTTAAATAACCAAAATTGTTTATTATTTATATTAAATATATATTTAATATCTTCATAATTGTATTTAATATTTTTATATTATATTAATATCCTAAATAACCGAGTATTTAAAAGTAAAGAAATAGAATCAAACTAAAATATAATATTTTGAGTTGAAAATTATAGTCGATCAGTTTTGTTCGATAATGTGCAATCCAATAGTTATCAACATGCAATTTATACAACCATAATGTGCTCCCGCAATAATAGACATTTTAAAATAATAATAATAAAATTTTTCATATTATAGGGTCAGTTCAGTTATTTAAGTTATTTTCAAAAGTAAAGGCGAAATCGAACTGGAATAAACGTGATTTGTAAGTAAAAATAATTAATCAAACCGAAATGTGCAATCTGATAGTCATTAGTGCAATTCGTATAACACTATTGTGCACGTGATCGCAGACATATTTATGGCCTGATTCACACCAAACTAAAACCGATTTTATTGACTTATTTGTTCGATCAATTAACCAAATTTATCTAAATAATATATATGCTTTATTATTTATATTACAAAAAATATTTAATATTTCAACATTTATATTTGATATGTTATATTTAGCTTTGGTTTAAGAGACATGATATATAAACTATCGATATCAATGAAATAATAATGTGCATTTCCAGAGACTATAAAATTATTTATTATCATATAAATATATTTGGTACTTATAAATTTTATTTAATGTTTTATATTATTGTTTGTTGAAAATAAATAATGTATATATATAGTTATATACAAATAAAATAAACAAATAATTTTTTATATGGTTCAACCAGTTCTAATTTTTTTTTTTTTTTTTTTTGTAAATAAAGCAGAAATCAGACCGAAATAAATAATTTATTTATATTTGTGAAAATGCACATTGTTATGCTAATGTGTATTCCCACATACAGTAATATGCATTCCCACATATACTAATATGCATTTTTTTTCAATTATTGTGCAGACTATTGGGCGGGATTTTTTTTTTCTTTTTCGTATTTCATTTTAGAAAACTTTAATAACGTGTATTTCAATTAACATTATTGTGGTCTGATAGTCACTAATGTGGCATCTTGTTTAGTATATTGTTCATTCTGCAGTGCGAGATTTTTTTTTTTTATGTGCAAATATAAACTACACTTACTCGAAATAATTTAGTTATTTTGCCGGTTAATTGAATTAACCTGAATAATTGAATTAATTTATTATTTATATTATAAAAATATATATAATATTTATTTATTCTTTTGTATTAGTAGTATAAAAAATATATACAAAATAATAAGTTTATATACATATATATATTTTTTTTTATAAATTACAGATTTGGTCCATGATAAACTAAAATATAGTTAAACTTTTTTGAATTCGCACATCGACCCCAGGGTTTAATTGCAATTAACTAAAATTCTTAAAATTGCAAAGCAGTCATTGAAACTTATAAAATTTCTAAAAACTAATCCTCAACCTCAAGTCCGTTTTTCAACTGTCCAGACTCCGCTACCGGCGACCTACCTCCGCCTGCACCGCTGTAAGCACTTGTTCCCTCGTCGGTGACATCCCTTGGCATTCAAACCACCGGTAAAGATTTTTTATTTTTTTTTAATACGTCTGCCCAACGGTGGCGATGAAGGGTACTAGCCGCCTGTCACACGACGAGTTCACAACGACGGCTGAAAGTGTTCGTGGGTGATGAGCAGCGACCCTAAGCCGCGCAGGTCCGGGCGGCCATGTCGATGGAGACGACGGATGGAGAGGTCAGCCGGTGGGCGAGGCAGTGGTTTCCTCCGGCGGGTGTGGCGGGAGCCGGAGGCCGGCGGTGGTCGTCATTATGTGTGTAGTCGATGTGTGTGTGTGTGTGCAGGGACGGATCTAGGTCATAAAGTGAGTAAGGGCATACTTTTTTTAAGAATATAATACACAATAAAAAATATAAATACAAATACACCTTTATAGTTATTTTTATGAATTTTTATATCTTGGCATCACTCTATTATAACATCGTTGAAATTTTTACTGCATTTTCTTTCGGCCAAAAAATATTAGGATTTACGGGAGATATATTTGGACTGAAACTAGCTCATTTTGATATATATTCCAGGGCCGGCT